ATCATGAGACAAAATAAAAGGCCATGGCCTTTTAATATGGATTTTACAGAATTGCCTCTGAGGTGGCCTTCTATTTAGGGTGCCCTTCTAATATAGGGTGGCCTTCTATTTTGGGGGGGGGTTTACATCGAATGATTTAAGCTATACATACACAAAAAAAAATGTTTAATTCTACAGAAAAAATATTTCATAACTTAATAAATTAGTCTTTTCTTCATCTAACACGCATAATGTTTACAAACATCACGCTCCTTAAATTCATTGAACACGGATGTTAACAAATAAATAAATATTGCACCAATTAACGATGCGAATTGACTGATAGCACCAAACCAAAATAAACCACGATGTCCACTAATTTCACGAAAATAATTACCGATTGATATACGTTGACAATAATAAGTTAGAGCGGTGAGAGTCCAGACACCTGCCTAGAATATGAAAACAATAAATGTAAAAGAATGCATTTTAATACAAAGACAGAAATGATGAAAATAAAAATGATAACAACTTACCACAATATATTTGCCGACTACTCGGTCAACCAGTGGTGAACATGGCGACATTTTTGCCTTAAAAAATGACGACGTCAGAGATGATAATAATAGAACGAGGAAAATAACAGCAAGAATTTAAAGTTTTACTTACAGTAATAAAAATATAAATAAAACCAATAGTTGTGGCCACACATAGACTGCAAATTACTCTGAATGATACTCGAGGCACGAAAATAGCAAATAAACACATGCCGGGATAACAACACTGAACTATGATTTAAAAGAATGAGAGATGTTTAAGTTTGTGTACATCAATTTTGGTAGACTTTATTATCGATGAAATATCAAACGAAAAGGTATAAAAGAACTATATGAGGCGCAATCTAAGTTACCATTGTGTAAATCATCGAAACTTCTCCTTTCTTTCTCAGCAATTCTTAATCTTTCGTCCACCCACGAACAAATTTTCCGAATAAAATCGGGGTTTGTTTTGTCTCACCGTGGTTTCTCTCTAGCAAACCGTGATGTCATTCCGAAAAACGCGGTCATCCGCGATAACGACAAACCACAATTTCCTCAAGCCAAACTGTGGTTTGAAAAACCAATGAAAACTACGGTTTTGAGAAGCAGCGTTTTGATCGAATCGAGCTGCGGTGGTGTCACCGACGAAAACCATGGTTTCAAAGAGGTGTGATTTAGTGAGAATGAATCGTGGTATCTGAAACCGCGCTTTTCGACGGTTTTATACACAACGATAAACTCGATCTACACCGTGGTCTGCGAATATCGCTCAGCGCAGCGGTTTTTCGTTAAACCACGATGTTTACGATTTAAACTTCGGTTTATCTTCTTCACACTTTTTATTGGTTTCGAGACCACGGTTTTCGTCAATAAAACTGTGGTTCGATGATACCGCGTTTCGCACCTGACTAGACCCGGCGGTTTGTATCAGCAAACCGCGATACCAGAAACCACATTTTTATGTGTGTGCTTTTTTTGCCTCATTTCTGCTCTTTTTTCCTCAACGGTGTATTGATTTGCTGATTTTAAACTTGTAATTCTGAGGTCTTTTTGATTTTCTTGCTTTGCATGTGGGATCCCTGGTCACCTCCCACATCTGTTTCTTACTTAACACACTTAGATCGGTAAGATATAACCTTAATTTTGATCATTGTATAATCAATTCGAAATGGCTCAATGAAAACATGCTGGACAAGCCAAAGGTAAAGGGTTCGTATCTCACACAAAGCATATGAAAGATTGGTGGTTTCAGATAGGCTAACCGCGTTACAGGATCATCGCAGTGCGATAGAAGCAACAATCGCGGTGTGTGGGTGTAGTGGTAAGAACAGGGGCAACCGCGGTCAGAGCTATAGAAACAAATGTAGAATGAAGAAAGAGAGAAGGACAGAAAGCGAACAGATACCGGCGATAACATCAAGAGAATCGTTTTTGTAAAAAAACAGACTCCATACCGCGGTATGAAAAAACGCGTTTTCGGCCGATGTGTAAAAACCTAATAAACGGTCTGTATTTAAACTGACAAAAGCCACAGGTTTTCATACCCTATTCAAAAAATGTCTTCGTGGATAGACAACGATGTAAAAGCAGGTAGACTAAAGAGTTCTCTAACACGTCAAGTTTTATAATTGCTGAGACAGAAAAACAGAAGGTTCTTTGATTCAATTTAGACTTTTCTATGGCAACATTCCATCGAGATGCATCTCTTTTTAACTATGAATTGTATGATTCTAGAACTTACTCAATAAGACGACGTAATGAAAAACATTTAAACCATACGGATACACTGAATAAGTAATTAAAGCCGGCAGTGCACCATAATTAAATATTGTACTCCAAAATAAAATTAACATAAGTAAACCATGTTTAGACCACCAAAATTCTTTTCTTGTCATTTTATTAGCATTTTCATTTTCAATTTGACTTAATTCTTTGTTAACTTTTCCTGTTTTTGTATATAAAAGTACAATAAATCCTATGAGTGACATTAGAATAATTGTCAATAGACAAAAAAAATAGATTCGTATAGAATATCGTGCTGGTAGTAACGTCTGTGTTATCAATGTTTCATTTAACTGTTGAGAATATTTCTCAGTACATATAATTTCACCGGCACCCTGAATTAAACCGAGTATAGCCGGTAACAGAGATGAGAGTGCCTCACCTATAAAGTATGCATTTAAATAAAATTTTTCATAACGATAACAATAGGGTAAAAATGTAACAGTTGATGTACAATCAACAAATGATAAACAAAAACTTAAGAATAATAAATAAAAACTATGATTATTAATTGTTTTATGCCAAAGAAATGCTAAGAAAATTAAGACAATAGCACCAAATACTAAAATAAATAGATTAAGTGGTACTTCATAAGATTGCATACGATCTTTTTTAAATATACGAATAAGAACAATAATAAATGGACCAATATTCGATATATTTGTAACTAAATTAAATATCGATGGAAGCTGCCAACCTTCTGGTAAAATTGGTACAAGAAGTGGTAATTCTGTCCAGACCTAGATTGTGGTACAAGGATGAAAGAAATGTGTGTTGAAATCAGGAGAAGAAAGAAGAAAAAAAGACGTACTCCGGACCATGTCAACCATGTAGCTGAGCCAAATAAAATAATCATAAAATAAATTAATAATACGGAACATTTAATTGGTTTCTTGCTGAATAATATTGCCATTATTGGTTCAACAGTAAACTGCCGAGGAGAATTGAAAATTCCTGGAATTGCCGATGGTTTTTCTAACTAATATAGAATCATGTTAATAGAACCGTATCGAAGAAGGAATACCTGTCTCATCGCTTCTTGGCAAATGTTAGCAAATGTCTATATAGACATTTGTTAACATTTGCCAAGAAGTGAAAAGACATATTGTACGTATACGATACTATCGGACTAGAAAAAAACTTTATTCCAAAAAGAATGTGTCACACATTTTATAAAAAAGAAATATATACTAACAGAAGCGGTGGAACGATTTCAAATGGAGTAAGGCTCAATTTAAGGCATTCCTCTATGAAATAAATTTTTCCCATATTTTTAGTTAGTAATAAAAAGTATTATGACCACATAAACACAAAATGTGTAAATATCTATACTTTATATAGTGTGTGCGTACATTAAAATATATTTTCATTGTCTTTTTTTCGTTTTTCTTTCGTTCGACCAGAGGTCAGCAAGTAAACTATATGAAGCGAAGAAATATACTTTGACGTGAACTTTGCAATATATTCAAACACATACAGTCTATGTAAGTATCGAACATAGTTAAAGCGCACATTTTAGCGTTAGCACACTATATATAACGTGATTAAGAAAACAAAATAGAAAAGAAAATCATTATTTTTCAGAGGTCTATTAAAATCAAATTTTATTCACACTAGTTACTCAAATAAAAGCCTATTACTTCCTTACCTTGTGATGAATTTAGCAAACATCGATTGAATGAATGATAAAAATAGAAGAAAAGATGAATAATTAGTATTTTATTTGTATTTCTAAAATTGTTAACGGTTCAAGTATATTATGTACAATAAATTTCTACTATTTTTCTGTTTGATGACGATGAAATAACAAAGCCAAAGCTAGAATGGAACAAATGATTTTTTAATTTTTCTCGAAACTTCGTAGAGTGTATCCTAACCGAAAGTTATGGCTGTACAATCGAGAGAGTATTCCATTCTTTAACGACAATTGGGAAAAATGAGCTATTAAACAAACTACTTTTATCTGTGAAATCATAAAGCTGATTATTGTTGTTCGATTTCAATCCATAATGAGTATTAGAAGCCGTGTAGGTACACATACAACAGAATTGTGATTGCTACCTCGGACCAGCCATTTTTCTAATATTTTGACTATTAAGCGACCGGTACTCACATTTGTTTTTGATTGTGTTTATCCTTCTAGGTGCACATATATTCAGACATATAGTATTAGAATTCATAACAAAAAGACCTTCTCGATGTTTTTTTGCGTTCTGTTCGTTGTTGAAGAAAATTATATATATCCTTCTCTCTATATCATGCAGTCGGTCATCCATGATGTACTCTTGTGATTGTTCAACTGACAAGAGACTTGTCACTAAGCAAAATTTTTCTTTCTTCTGTCGTATTGTCTCCATAGAATAACAAAAAAACACAACTTATAAGTAGTTGTATGAATATAAACACAACAGTAAAAGCGGGAACTAACAAATTTCTTTGAGTTCAAGTATAATAGAAGGTGAGGGTGACAGACATTAGTCAACGCACCTATAGGTAGCATAAATCGACACGAAAAACATGAATATTTCAAGCAGACAATAATAAATGCAATTATCCTTTCCTTGAGCGGTATGAAATGTATCTAATATGTTTTTTTCCTGTTATATTTTCTAATTATCAGCTGATCGGCCTAGTACAGCGATCTGACCGGTATCGGTCCGATACCGGTCAAAACTAAAAACTGGCCGGTTGAAACGACCCTACCGGGATCAATCCGGTTCCAACTCTGCGTGTAGGTCGAAATCTGATGATTTAGGCGATTAAAGCCCATGAGGATCTTATAGAAAACTCACATATTTATATAAAATAACTGAGAAAATATTAACCACCTCAGATCCTTAACGTCTTTTTCTGTCGATAAGCCCTTCACGGCTCCGTTTACTGTTAATGCAATTTGATACTCATTTCATTTATTTGGATAGATCATACTGCCGAGGTACATATTCAAAAACTTGAGGGTTTATAAAGGTGAATATATCCACACAAACTGATACTGAACTCGCCCTAGCTTTTTGATATTATCTTGCGTAGTTAGAAAGTAGCTTTCACTTGCGTAGTTGATGTTGGTCATGATCAAAAACGGCTAGTTAAAGAGATCTTTTTTTCGTCTTTTTTACGCTTTTAATGGTCTTTAAAAAGGGTTTCCGATTGTTTTTAATTAGGGTGGGGAGATTTTTTTGGCGGACAGTTTTTTTTCTAAACAAGTGAAACATTTGTTCATTAAAAAGAATTTTTGTTACTTCGCATGAAAAAATTAATTTTTTCAACAAAAGCAATACTTCATTTTCATCGAAGTCATCTTGCAGAAATAACGATATATTTCGTTCTTTGGCTGGCCTTGGATGAGAAATAATATCTTGCATAACAAAATTAATAGGTTCTGGAAAATTTCTAACTTAAATTGTCCTTCTATTTTGAAGGACTGTCTGTCACCTATTTTGACAGGTAGTTTGTAGCTGTTGATAATGGCTGTCGGTCTCTTACAGTTTATCAGATCAAATACTTGCAAGGTAATCGCGAGATGTGTGGTGCCCACAAAAAGGTTGGACAAATTCAAGGCAGAATAAAAGTTCCAAAAATCTGGCGGACAGTGTCAAAATGTCCCCCACTCTAATCGGAATCCTTGATCGCTAATAAAGTAATTGATTGATAGTTTTTGATAGAATGCGGATCGCCCGTCTCGAAAACTGGCACTACAGATCGAATTTTAAGTGAACTGGGAAAAACTGATTAATTTAATCTGGTGTAAGTAATATCTGCTAATAAAGGAGCAAGCACGGGAGCCAATTCTTTGACTATTCTCGAGATTAGAGCGCCAGCTACAGCTTTGTTAGAGTTAAGTTTGTTCATTATTTTTAGCACTTCTTTCTCAGTAACGAAAATTGACTTCATTTTACAATGAGTTTTAAGGAAAAAAGATGAAAATTGTTTAGTAAGACTTACAGGCGACATCATACAAGTAGAAGCACAGTATTCATTAAACTCTCTGGCTTTTTCAGCTGGATGGTCAGCGGTAGTGCTGTGATTTGAACTTATAGACGCAATGCACTAGCCTTGCTTCTACAAAGCGGTTTATGGACTAACGTCCACCGAAAGTAGCTTGAAGTACAAATTTTTGATGAGATTTTCTCGAAAACTCCTTTTTTAGTAGTGACACACGCTGTTTCAAAGTCTGCTGTAATATTTTCATAGTTTTTATTCATCTATATCGGATTTACTTTGTGCCCACTTCTTATACAATCTATTCCACTTCTTATAAAGTTTTCGTAATTCCTCAGTAAACCACACCTTATTCTTTTGACTCATCTTAATTAGGTTATTTGGAATATGTTTCTTCGCCATATCCACTACTACCTCAGTTATATACTGAACGTTTTCGTCTAATCCACTGAGTAGTCGAAATAGAGTTTCCTACTTACTAAACATAAATTTTGACAAAATTTACGTACTGTTGAAAAGAACCCAATTTGCTTTTTCATAACCGTATATCAAAAGTTTACTACTTGGCCGTTTGACTGATCTTTTAAGCAAGTTAAAACTTACAACGCAGTGATCAAAAGATTTTATTTTATTTGGTACTACTTTCACCTTAGCAACAAAAAATGCTGTTAACAATAGTTGGATCTAAAAGGATCTGCAAAACAGGTCGCATAGGTTGACTAACTAAAGGTGAAACTCACTCGAACTCACAAAATCCTTTAGGGTTTTCCTGAAACCTTTTAAAGTCCTTTTAACTAGGTTTAGAAAACGTTTTCTCGCTCTGCTCAATCCCATCTAGCCATAGGCCATATAAAGATGCGATTTCAACTTCAGTATTGTATAGATAATGAAAAGAACTTTTGAATGGGTCATGAGAAACCGGATTTTATTGATTTTTCAATAAAAACGCGTGACAAAAGCGACACTTATGTCTCAGGACGGAAGCATTTTTAGACCTTTGCATTTTGGTCTGGAACTATTCTACATTCATCCTACATATGTAAAAATTTCAGGCCGATCAGACATATCAAGGATTTGGCTCTACTGTACACTGTCGATTTTTCTTAGACAGAAGGGAAAAAAATCTTGATAGTCGAAAGCTTCAATGTGAAAGCAGCTCTTTCTTTTAAACGTGTTCTTGTTTATTAAAAAGTAGTTGTGTTTGTGTCATTGAATGGAAATTTTTCATTTGAACAAGGATCAAATGGAATTGCATTTTCTGTTTTCCTTCTTTTTATAATCCGTTGTAGTTACCGAGATATTCACTATACGAACTCTAACTTGATCGGACTAATTCATTAACAACATTATCATTACACTTCTAGCTCATCTGGATGAAAATCAATAGTTATCCCCTCTTACTTCTGGTCAGACAACAAATTCGCCTCACACTTCATCTCCCACAATATATGAACTTTCAGTTGATCAATGGCACAAATTCTAGAAGAACATCATCATTTCACTTCGATTTCCTCTTGATCCCAACCCATACATGTTCTCCTCTCTCCACTCTTCTGACAGCAAGGTGGCGTAACTCTTCATCTCCAACGTCCCAAAAATCCTGTTGGATCCTAGGCCGCTATATGCAAAAGGCTGTTGCTTCCATTGAGCAACACCGTAGATCGAAACATAATAGAAGGAGCTGAAAATGATGAGTGCACCGTTCTTTTGATAAAAGCTGAACAAAACTACGTTGTGCAAAATCAGACGTTGCCGAGTTATACGGGACTTCGACCGCAAAGATCTTTTCTTAGCACGAGATATGAAAATTTTTGCAAAACATGGTAATCGGTCACGTAGAGGGGATATATTAGTCAAATACTAGAGATATTAATTTAATTCGTTGGATTTTGTGAGACATAAGAGATATTCATGGAATAGTAGGGATATTAGTC